TGTGTTAAAAACAAGACACATGATTTCAATATACTGTACCTATGAGAAGACAAATGATCTCAAAGCACTCACCTTGATGACATTGTCAATGAGCAGAATGAGCAGACACATGATCTCGATGCTCACCTTGGTGACAGTGTCAGGGAGCAAGATGAGAAAATGTACGGTCTCAATATACTGTGTCAATATGAAGACAAATGATCTCAGTACAATGTGTCAGTGAGAAGACACTTCATCTCAATATACTATGTCAATGAGAAGACACATATAATCTCAATAAAGTGTGTCAATGACAGGACACATGATCTTGATATACTGCTTCTATGAGAACATATACACAATTTCTATAAGAGTCAATAAGAAGATACATGATCTCAATATACTGAGTTAATGAGAAGACACAAGAGCTCAAAACACTCATCTTGATCACATTGTCAATGAGCAGAATGAGCAGACACATGATCTCGATGTTCTGTGTCAGTGACAGGACACATGATTTTAATACACTCACCCTGATGACATTGTCAATGAGCAGAATGAGCAGACACATGATCTCGATGCTCTGTGTCAATAAGATAAGAAGACTCATGATTTCAATATACAGTATCAATGACATGACACATGATCTCAAACCACTCACCTTGATGACATTTTCAATGAGCAGAACGATCAGGCACCTGATCTTGATACACTGCTTCTATGAGAAGACACATATGGTCTCAACACACTGTGCCAATGAGAAAACACATGATCTCAAAGCACTCACCTTGATGACATTGTCAATGAGCAGAATGAGCAGACACATGATCTCGATGTTCTGTGTCAGTGACAGGACACATGATTTTAATACACTCACCCTGATGACATTGTCAATAAGAAGACACACGATCTCAAAGCACTCACCTTGATGACATTGTCAATGAGCAGAATGAGCAGACACATGATCTCGATGCTCTGCGTGAGCCAGCACGGCACGGTCACGGGCTCAGACGGCTGCCTCAGGTCGGCACTGAGCGACAGGGAGGACGGGAACTCCACAAAGGCCAGCATGTGTAGCAGGAAGATGACGACGAACCGGAAACTGACCGGGCAAACATGGAGAACAAACGGATTATTAGTTTTGTTTTGGTAGGTAAGAGTTTCACGGTACTACTTGCAACACAATAAGGCCATATAAGTGACGAAGATTAGAGGTGTTACAAGAGAGTAACATACACAAAAAAGAAGGAAGAGAGATAAGGATAGTAGATATTTGATAGGAAAGAAGAGGAGCAAACCCCATCAGAGCACCGGCCAACCACCCGCTAAGTAAGGTTGTACGGTGCTTGCAACTGCATAAGGTGATATGAGCGCCAAGGGGTGGATGTCAACAGAGAAATCTTTACAGGGAATCAGACTTACTCTGCCCACCTCTCTAGCCTCAACAGCACAGTCTGCTTCGACTATCAAGGCACCCCGGAAATAGCAGTTCACAAGAGAGTGACAAACATACAGTATGTTTGTCACTCTCTTGTGAACTGCTATTTCCGGGGTACAAAAGAAGTAGAGGAAAATGACGATAGTAAGGATGAGGAAAGAAAAAGCAGCGGTTCCACCAATGTTGTTCCGGCACAGTATGCGCATGACATTGATAAGTCAGCCCGCTTACAATTCTACTGTGCATAAGAACGTGTTAACATCCCCCCTGTGGGAATGGCCTAAATACACGTCAGTCAGCGGCACTGCCTTGGGGGGGGGGGGGGGGGGGGGCAACTTTCAGTTTAGTTTTAGTAGGTAAGAGTTTTACTGTAATACTTGCAACACAATAAGGTCATATAAGTGCCAAAGATTAGAGGTGTTACAAGAGAGTAACAAACACAATAAGGTCATATAAGTGCCGAAGATTAGAGGTGTTACAAGAGAGTAACAAACACAATACAAAAAGGAAGGAGGGGAGATAAGGATGATAGATGTTTGACAAGAAAGAAAGGGCAGCAAATCACACCAGAGCACCCGCAAACCGCCCACAGAAAACAAACAAATACAGTCGGGCACAGATAGTATGAACACAGAAAACACAAAACCGGGATAG